GTATATTCATGGTTGCTTTCAGAGGTCTTGACTTATATCTTTCCCTGCTGCTTTCTTAATGATCTTCATTGAACAGTAACGTCAGGTACTTGATGTTCAATGAAGACCATTAATTTTTTCCAATTAAATGGAAGATGTATACTCCTACAGCATATGACATCCATTCATTCTTAGCAAGAAATGTATTTCTTAAATCAAAAAGGGATGTTATAGACTTCTGTATGATAACAGTGTCAACCAAAGGGAAGCACATATACAAAGCATCGTGCTCCAGAGAGCAGCGAGTGTCAATTGCCCTTGCTGAGCTCTACAGTGATAAGACCTGATACAACAGTAATTTTATTAATCTGCTTGATTTCTGATATTGATTTGACATAAAATGTATCCTGCTAGCTTTAAGATCAGGGACATTTTCTTGTCATTGGAACAAGGGCAGTTCTAGCCATGCAGGGACTCATGGCTTGGTGAAAAGTGTATGAACTGCCCTATGCTTGACATGCAGTTCAGCCATGCAATGTTTCTATGCAGAGGTAAGTAAAAAGAGAAGATCCGATCACATTCCCCATTCTTACAAGTGGTAAAGTAGAACTGGGGGCATGAGGGGTCTTTCAAGGGTGTTAGTTCTAGGTGCACAACTATGAAACGTAAAACACTCAACTTCAACTCTTTCATGCCACATATCCTAATGAAGAGCTCTGTTACACAGAGCTAGGATTAGGGACTGTATCTGAGCCAGGGTACAGCTAGACCTGCAATTTTTGAGGGCTCGGATTCAAACACAAGTTGTTGCAGCTTAGCCAGTTGCTGTGTGTCAGCTGAGCCAACAGCTGAGACATGATGCTGGATGTTGTACAGGCTGTTAGACTAGAGAACATTTGAACTATAATCTCTGTGAGAGAGACTTGATTTATGATGTGATATCTGTCAGGATTCTACCAGCAATTTGTTCAACAAACACAGCGAGGAGGAACAAATGAGAAGTTTCCCAAACTGCTGAAACTGTGAAGCATTATAAAATGTGAAACAGATTAATATGGTAGAATTGTAACACCAAACAAATGGCTGGGAGATTTGTGAAAAAGCATGATCATTGAAAGCTTGAATGAAACAACATAGAAACAATATCCCTAAACTTTTTACTTCTGTTTGAAAAAAAAACGGTGCTTCAATAACTTGTGAGATCACCACCATGTATTTTTGTGTTGGAATAAATTCAGGCATATGTAGAATTAGAATATGAATTTTTTATAATCCACAAGGGCATCAAGCTATAACTAACATAAATCTCTAAGTAGAAATCTTGACCCCACTGAACCTAACAGAATTTTTGCTATTTACTTCACTGGGGTCAGATTTTTAATCCATATACATTTGCTTTTTTAGGGCATAATCCCCATGTCCATTGAAGCCAATGAAAGCTCTTCCATTGACTGTAACCGACCTTTCATTAAGGCAGCAGTTCCCTTACAAAAGACTGTTGTCACTGCTATAGTCCTGCAAACCTTCTTCACAATTATACTTGTTATGGTCACATTCCTGAAGCTGCTTTTGTCTTCTTTTATCTGAGATAGCATTAACAAGGCCTGTTTTTCAAAGTTTCTAATGGCATGCTATGATCTTAAGCCATCAACAGCCCTCTTGATTTTTTCTGTGTGATTTTGTGCAACATTTTCTTTGCTTGTTTTCCTCTTTGATGTCTTTGAATAACCTGGACGAGAAGGCAGAATGTAGTGGTCTTACTTTTTCCACTTTTTTCTGATATGTTGTCAGTGAATAGGCAGAGTGGCAGTTTTATTGTGTTTCTTTTCACCCTTAGATCTACCATTGCAATTCAGGATTCCTCATGTTTTAATCTTTAAAAATTATTTTCTCTCCTGTAAAAATCAATCAAGGTTTTTAGCTGCATTCTGCAGTCCTCCATCAAACACAACCTTTTCAGTTTGCTGCTTTCTCAAGTCCTGCTTCTACTTTTCAATAGGGCTTTCTAACCATTACTTTAGGTTCCAGCTCCTCTTCACAATATTGCATAATATTGCTTTTTTTTTTTCCATTGTAATGTCAAGCAATTATTTCCTATGTTGTACTGGCAAATCTCCTGCATTGTCTATTTTGGGGAACTGAAGTTCTGCCGGGTTTTACCTTCTACAGCCAGTGTCTGCAAGTTCCTGAATTCTAGCTCTAATTTTATTTTAACTAAACCAGGAGGATTTTCTCTTTCTAGTTTGGTTTGAACTTGATTTTCTGGGATGGACAAGTTGCTATGAAGTGTTTCAGGAGTTTGACATTTTTTTCTCTTGGTTTTTCTAAGAAGTTTTTCCAAATGCTAGAAATGTTGAGCATCTCTCTGGGCAAAGATATGAATCACTTCAGCTTCTGCAGGACTTATAACAGGCAGGTATACTTCCTGAGCTATTCCCAAGTCTAATTTAAACTTGAAAACCTTTCATCCAGAGCATGAGTTTGAACAATATGAAAAGACAAATGCAAAGTCCTGTACCTGGGATGGACTGATTCCCTGCAACAGTACAAGCTGGAGACTGACTGGCTGGGTTGTTGCTTTGTGGAAAAAGACCTGGGGGTCCTGGTGGACATTATGCTAAGCATGAATCAGCCGTGTGCTCTAAGGGCTGTACTAAAAAGTGTATAGCCAGTAGATCACAGAAGGTCATTATTCCCCTTCACTCATCACTCTTTAGATTGCATCTGGAGTACTTTCCCTGTGAGGAAAGGCTGTGGGACCAGGCTTGTTCAGCCTGAAGAAGAGGTGGCTTCAGGGGGGCCTAACAGCATACCTGTGAGGAGGTTACTGCAAAGATGGAGCCATAAGCTGCACAATCAAAACAGGGAAATTCCAACTGGATAGAAGGAAAAAAAAAAATCACTGTGAGGATAATTAAGCCCTTATTAAGGATAATTGGAACAGGCTTCTCAGAGAAGTTGTGGAAAGTCTGACCTTGAAGGTTTTCAAGATCAACTGGACAAAATGCTAAACAATTTGCTTTGAATGAATGTTGATCCTATTTTGAGCATGAGGTAGGACTAGATGATGTCCCAGAGTCCCTTCCAACCTGAATGATTCTATGAACATCTTGTTCTTGTAAGCCAAGAGAACAACTATACATGAAAGATGTAACCAGCCTCATCTACTGAAAAAAAAAATAGCGTAGCAAAAATAATTATGCTATAGCCACACAGCCAAGTTTGGAACCCCACTGTGCTGGATGCTGATAATGGGAGAAAGTCCCTGTGTTTATAAAGCCTGCAATCCAGTTAGCTAAACTGGCCATAACAGTGGGAGCAGGAACACAGTAAGGTGAAGTGATTTTCTAGAAGTCATTCCTGTGTCCAGGGTCTCCTGAGTCCTAGTCCAGTGCTTATACACTGGACCACACTGCACTCACAGTCTGTGTAGGTCTCTAAGTTTTCTGAAGATGAATGTTTCATAAAGCATATTCTATTTCAGAGAGAAGTGGTCATTCAGAAGATTAAGGTCTTTTTCAAATGGGATGTTCATCTCTGCCAGGTGGTATGTTAAGTCTGAGTCATAAATATCTTTTATTTCCTCAGTCAGATAGTGTAGTGGAAGTGCAACTTGTCATTTTTGACTTCCAGTTTCAAGAGCACCAAGCAAGTTTCTGAATTTGTTCCTTCATTTCTGAGCAACTGACATATTCTGCTGGATGTTAAACGCTCAAAATGTAAATGATGCAAAATTACTTTGTTTATCATTTTGGATAGTTGATTTTATTTTTTTCCACAGAAATGTATCTAACCTGACCTTCTTATGCCAAATGCGCTTTACCTTCTAGAAACTTCAGGGACTATTTGAAAGCTTTACAGAGCTTGATGCTGTTGTGGGCTGCCATATATTATCTTAGAAGCTGTCCCTGTTCTCCTGCTTTCCAGTTGCAGTTATCCTCCTATCTTCCCTTGCAGATCAAGCAAGGTACGTTCAGACTGAAGATTTATACTGCCTTCTATTGTAGTCGTACGGTTTTGTAAAAGCTAATTAAATGTGGCTGTATTTGGGTTGCTACCCTTTTATTAGGAAATGCTAGCAGGACATGGTGCAGGGGGAGCAGAGTTCTTCAAATCTGGGACTCTGAATTTAAGAGGCAGTTTGCAGATAGTCTTTTACATTAAGAAAAACACGCAAGTCAATCATAAAAGCAGTCAGTTACTGAAACTTCCAAAGAATTATCTGGCTTCACTGCAGGCACAGATAAATTAGAGATTATGGGCCTAAGTCTTTTTCGCACCAGGCTAAATCAGGAGCACCATCACTGAAGTCAACAGATCTCAACAAGAAAAGAATTAGGCCCTATGGCTTTTACTAAGAGGAATACAAAGAGTTTAATTACAAGGAATCAAGCTGAACCTCCCTTCCCCCATACACACACACACACACATGCTCTCTGGTAAAGTTTGTCTCTTGTAACATTTTTGTCCTTCTGTTATCCTTATCCTGATCAGATACTACCTGTGTGCAAATAACAGGGACTTAGATGCTATAGGGATGGGGGCCATTTAGATGTTAATACACGGGGTGGTTAAAACACTGGTAGAGCTGTAGCTCAGTTCTGTATTGAAAAACCTGGTGAAATCCCAAATATGCTGCAGTTTTTGACCTCCACGTTATTACTCAGAAATAAAAACCAAAGAGATGAGTTCATTTTCTGTGCTAGGGAGGGAGTTTCTCACCTAAGCAATACCTTTTTGAAGGAGTAAAATAATGCACAGCACGTGTCAATGAACAGCTGCTGGAAGCTCTGGTAATACAAATATAATTTTTTATTTCCACATATGTGAACAATCTTATACATCTATAAAAAGACTTGAAAATAAATCATACAAAAAGTTATATTTGAGCCACCCTCTACGAAACCCTATGACAAAAAAAGCAGGTGCAAGATGAAGACCCCAGTCATGGAATATAAATAATAGTTCAGGAACAATCAAGTGTTGTACCAGATTATTTTGACAAAAATGGAAGTACTTACAGTCTAAGTGACTATGTCTGATGCCTTCCACATCCTCAGCATGAATGAAGTGGTAACATCTCTTTCCTACGATATCTACAGGAGTCAGATCCATGTAATCACTAATCCTAAAAAGGAAGAAAAATACAGCCTATAATTCAAGAAGGAAAAGAATACAAGAACTGTCAAATGACTGAGAGTGAAATCTGCTAAAAAGTTTTTTTCACCACTATTGTGAGTGGAATATCTGTACAAACAAGACACAGCCTTAAAGAAAAAAAAAAAAGAAAGAAAATGTTTTTTAAAGAAACCTTGAAATCATTTTATCCATTTAATAAGTGGAAAGTTAAATTCTAGTGCATATTCTCCCCATAGCATAACACCAAGACAATATCATTCCATGCAATTGTAAAGCATTAGCAACAATCCAAAATCCTCATTAAAAGACCAAGATGATTCAAGGTTACATAATAAAGTAAAAACATGTTATGTTTATACCAAATGATTAGAGACACATTTCATTTCAACAGATTGGTCTTCTATTGGGTATATTCATAAAAAAGCTCTTCAACCATTTCTTGGCACCAAGTCCAAACTGATATTTCAAGTGATATAATTTAAATGCTGAGACATACAGATGCCTCAGGGTGTTATCTTTTTTAGTCTAATTCATTTGGGAGCTCAGCTTTCACTCTGGGCCCTTTCAACTGGGACTTTGTTGTTTATTGCACATAGAAACTTTAAAATCTATTCTGCAGACCTTTGTGTGCGTGCGTCTTCGTGTGTGTGCCTGTGTGCTTGTGTCTGTGTGCGTGTGTAAATCTCTGTCATGGAGTGTCAAGATGTCAATGTCCTTAACTGCGGTACAGAAAATAACAAAACGATTGGAAAATGCCTTGCTCACACAAGCATTTAAAAGTACGCCTGTTTTCTAGAAATAGAATAATTTTTTAGGGTTTGAAATATGCTACAATGATTGGGCTAAAGCTCACTTTGCAATTGCAAGATATAATTGCCATCCATTTAAGGGAGTTGTAAGAAACACCAACCATCTTGATACAACCAGATAGCTATAAACAACTGGAGTGTGATCCTGAGGGAGGCCAGGGGGGAGGCTAAAACAGAAACCAAACTGCGTAGGTCTGAGGGGTTCCAGCAGGCAGAGGGGGTGAACACAGCCATTGAGGCACTCACTGGCAGAGCTGTGCTTGCCTGGGTGTCTGAGGCAGGGAGAATGCATAGACTGGAAAGACTGAAGGAGAATGGAAACATTAGACAGCAACACAGCAGCACTGGTGGTTTGTGCCAATTAAAAAAAAAAAACACACACAAAAAACACCACAGGTAAAACAGGTGGACTGAGGTTTGCTAGTAAAAATTGCCAAATCAAGTTTAGCACAGAACACAACAGCCTCCTCCCACTTTTATGACAGAGCATGTTGAAGGATGTGCACTTTCAAACAACTGCCTAGTAGTTACAGCACTTAACCAAATGTGGGATACCCATCTGGGGATACCTGTCTAATGTTTATCACAGACCACAGTTGAAAAGCACCTCTCCTACCTTCTCAGAGAGGCCACAATTCACCAGGATAAAGACAAGTCTGGAACGGTGGCAGTGGCACTCCCTATCCCTCCTGCTGAGTTCCTCCACTTTGGTTGCACAGTGAATTATGGGCTGGGAAATGAAGGACCTGGGATCTCTGCCCAGTGATAAGAAACCTCACCAGAAGGAAGGGAGTCTGAGATTTAAATGTTCCTGTCCCCTGGACTGTATATTCTCCTTTTACACAAAACTAAGTGTATGAACAGTCCATGGAGCAGGAACCAGAACTCAAGTCTCTCCCCATCCCACGTCTACACGCTCCTCACTGGCACACTTTGCTGTCTCTTCTCTGGCCCAAGAACTGTGTGTTTTCTGTTAGGAGGTGGCTCTGCTTCGAGACCAGTGAGAAGAAATCCCACCCTACCCAACCTAGTACAAAGGGGCAGTCTCCAGGCAGGCCACTGCCCTGTGATGTACCCAGGCTGCGAGTGCTACAGTTCACTCAACTGTATTTTGTTTCTCTGCAGCAGCATATTTGTGTACAGTCTTCACAGATAAAAATGAACACAGCAAGGCAACTGTGGAAGCAGATTCACCATCCCTTAAGTTTAAGATTAATATTACGAAAAAGCTGTTTCAAACAGACATATGAAGGAAACAGGATTTTTTTTTTGATGAAAAAAGTGGAAGAAGAAACAAAAAGAATATCCAGATGTAAGTGGTGATCACTGGCAAGCAATGACACCAAAACCAGAAGCAAAAGAAATGACATCAAATAGGACACTCATGCTTATATCAAAGGTACCAAAAATGGAAAAGAAATAATTCGCATGGAAAAAAGGAAGAAATATTATAGTATATCTTAGAGCACTAGTTAGGAGACAGATCTTGTGGAACCCAAGCCCTTTGACAAAATAAAGCAACAGGTTGGTGGGTAGGAACTCGCTTCTGCTGAATACACAGACCTGATCCTGTAAAACATAAGCTCAGGCTTATGTTTGAGCAGATCAGTGGTTCCACTGACTTACAGGACTGTTAACATGATTGAAATTTAAAGGTAGATATATGGTACAGTGCTTTGCTGAATTAGGACCAAATTGTGCACACATTTGTAGGCTTGAAGCTCTCTACACAAGATTGTTTCTGCATATCTGAAGGAACTATTGGCAACCACTGTCACGGCCAACAGGCTAAACCTCTTGCATTTGGAAAACACCATGTTCACTGGGTTATTTCCTTTTGGGCATGTGTTAGCAGATACAGCTATAGCAGTCCACATTAACTCAGCTATAGGCTCTCTCCAGATGGTCTCCAATCCCTAACAGTTGACACTGAAAATACATAGACTGATGCTGTACTCTAGCAGCAGTCAGTCTATTTTGCATTTAGTTATTTATCACCGTCTAAGATGATTTGTCCTCTGCAGGTGCTTTTCTCACTCCACTAACTAATAAAGAAATTCTAGACTATTTTAGACTAGATGGTGAAGTTTAGATGACATGAATCCTACATTTGGAAAACAGACATGGATTAACATGCCACATTTTAGGCAACAAGATTTTATATCCCCATTTGACACTCTCAGAACAAAATATTAATTGTTAGAAATAGCCAGTGCACTAGCTAACAGATCTTGTCTCAAAGGGAAGCTAACTGTTGACTAGTTTGTGCACGGAGTCCAGGATTCTGCTGCAGATCCCTTCATTCGGAGGAAAGTAACAAGATGCACCCAAAGACTTGAGTAATGTCACTCCTGCTCCCTGCTGTTGCAAGCAGGCAACCACTTGGAAAACTAGGAGTGCTATTGATCTCACCCCTGCTGATCCAATGGTCCACTGTGAGCATTCATTTCAGTTAAGTAGCACAGCTTCTGCTCCATACTCCCCGCGGCTGCCAGTAACTCCCCATTGCTCCATAAATAGTGCTTACAGCTTCCCCAGCGTGGATCCATTTTTCCCTGTTTTCATCAATGTTGTGCTTGCTTTACTGGGGCACCACAAAGAATTTCCTGGCTGCCCGCAAGTGCCAGGAGTCAAGCCCATATATTCAAGATGGGGTACTTATCTCCTTTTCTATAGTCCCAGAAGAGAGATCCCAACTTCCCCAACTTGGAGAATGGCCTTGGCAAAGGCCCAGATAATTAATCTGACAGCTTCAATCAGCTGTTCAGCTAATTCCTACCCTTCTTCTGTCCCTTCCATCCCCCCAGCTTTTACAGTCATATTCTGCTTTGTGCCTGCTATGAAATCCAAGTCCTGTCAATCTCACTCCATTTCCCATCAGTGAAAATCCCGCTGCCTCAGTGAGCTAACATTCACCTCCCAGCCCCGGCAGAAGTGTTTCTGCTATTTGAAATTCCTTTTATAAACTATTTTTAACACTGACACAGGGGCTTAAAATGGAACTATTGCAACATAAATTCAAGTACCGTCATATGCATTCTACCCTAGCATATGAGATAAAATCCATCACAAACAAGGAAAAGTAGTTTTATAATGTTGCCTTTACCTTGATGAATGAAAAACATTAGTAAACTCAACACTTTCTTGCATAAGTCAGGTGGCTTACCATAGTTTACCATGAGTTATCAGCTCTTTCTATGTGATTACGAATCAGCACTCCACATCTGATGCATTTTACGTTTTTCAGTGATGCCTTTCTCAGGCATTTGAATGTTTTTATTGCTACATGAATGTAAAGGGAAGGTTTGAGAAAAATGTTTAATTAAAAAAACACATACACAATTTAGGGCTCGTAAAAATGCCAGACTGATGGCAGAGAAAGTATAAATCTCCAACACAGGCCACAAATTCATATCATACTTGACCTGATGGAATAGTTCATTTTTCACATCTGTTTGATTCCTGTCTTTTTTATTAAGGTTGCCAATGAAGGTAACAGTAAGTGCAGGTGATTTTGTTAAAAGGGAATCTGTTCATTAGGAACTGGACAGATACCAGCAACTCATTTCACAGAGGCCATTGAAGAGCTCTGCAGTGGTAGTGGCTTTCCATTGCTATCTAGGTAGGTCACAGTCAAATCAAAGACTAAGGCAAAAGGTTTCTTCTAGATCCTACTGCTAATCCCCAGTGCTCTTTCACCAACTGCCAGATTATACAGAATCTAGATGCTCATTGGGTAGAGTCACAGGCAAAAGCTCAGCCCAAACTTTAATACTGTTACCAGCTTTCTCTGTGACATTGTGCAAGCCACTTTCTACGGAGCAGTTTTTCCAAGCTTAAAAATGAGAATAATATATTCTCTTTTAGATAATGCTTTGGCAGTTTAGATTATGTGCTCTCTCTAATAGCCAAGTAATATTATTATTAACAATATTGTGGCAGTTCAGCAACATGACAGCAAAGATAACCTCATAACTGAAATCCAATATTATTTTAAATTTTTTAAGGCCCTGATTCAACAAAGCATTTGAGTTTATCCCTTTTTATAAAAGTTTATATTGATGTGTTATCCTCATCATAGGTATTCCATTATGATTGAGCAGTTATGATTGCTCATATCAGAGAGCTTCCACCCTTAACTTATAATACGCCACGGCTGCTGTCACATGAAAAGCTTGCATTAGTCATCTTTGTTCCATTTTTTGATGACAGGCCCTCTTGACAAAATTTCTTTTGGCTGCATTATCTTCTTTCTTCCTTTCCAACCTTTCTCCCATACCTCACACTGGACCCAATGGACCCAAACTTCTTTATTACTTATATCTTCCTTCTCAGATATCTTCACTCTGCTCTAAATACCAGTTCCCTAGATTTTATTTTTATTTCTCAGTGCCCTGAGGGCACCAATAAGCCTTAATGGTCTTGACCAGCCCCCCTGGGGCCTTCCTCCTCCCTGCCCACAGCCCAGAACCCCATTTCAACACCCCGGGGCTCCCCTCAATCCTGCCCATGGTCAGAACCCAATTTCAGCCCCCCGGGGCTCCCCTCACCCTGTCCATGGCCCAGGACCCCACGTCAGCCCCCTGGGGCCCTCCCCCCTGCCCCGGCAACGCTGCAGCAGGAACAGGCTCCAGCTCCCCACGGCCCTGCCCTGCCTGGCCATGGGCCCTCCCAGCCTGGGCTCGGGCCGGTCCCCAGGGAGGTGCCCAAAGCCTGAGGCTGGTGCTGCCCCGGTGCCCCCCGGCTGCCCTGCTCCTGCCTGGGGTGGTGGGACAGGCCCTGGTTGCCAGGCTCTGCCCTGACAGACCCCCACGGGAGCCCCCGATGCTACCAGCATCCAGCCCCCAGGGAGCAGACAGCTGAATTTAAATCCTATCTTCCACCTTCCTAGATCACTTGTCACTATCACATCAAGCATAGCCCCCCCTTCAACCAACTCCGCATCACCTGTTCCCATTTCACTGCTGTCTTTCCCAGTATGCCCTTAACCAATTTTATTCTACAGTTTTCCCACCTCTTACTGCAACAGATCCCACCTCTCTAGCCTACTATCTAGGCCATCTGTGCTTCTGTTCCATTAAACACTGAGCACGATGTGCTGTAATCTGCAAATTAGTTGAAAAATGGAAAACTTTAAAACTTCAGACAGAAAGACTTGTGGAGGGGAGGACGGGGGAGCATAAGGACAGCCGTACAGGTCAGACCAACGTCTGTCTAGTCCCAAATCTTGCCTATGAGAGGGACGGTGAGAGACTGTAAAAAGCAGAAAAGGCTTAGAGGAATCTTTCCTGGTCTATCCTCCCCTATTCTAGCAAGATGGCCTGCAAATTATAGTTTTAAATTTACCTTTATCCTCTAAGAATGTAACGAAAATGAAGGTGATGATGATGAGAGTGAATTCAATACTCTCATACAACCCCAGGATGACATTGCAGGAGTCACAAATTTAAAAACTTTTTGCCAAGCCCATGGAACAAAGAATACACACAGCTAAAACAAAGAAAAAAGGAGCTAAAAGCTGTACCTATTTTCACAGTAAATGATATTGAGGTCCATATTCACACGAGTGACAAACATGTGGCAGTCAATCCTGACTTCATTAATTGTAGGAGGTGGCAAGGCATGAGCAACGACAACAAGTCCCATGATTTGGCTGGGTACTGTCCGTCCGTGGGACAGTGACACTCTCAGACGTAACCGGCCTGTTATATGAATCACCTGGAAAATAAAAACAATAAAAGAAACCCCGGTGAATTCTGGATGCAACTGTGACATCAGTTTCTTTTAAAGGATAGCATTACTATTCCCTACAGACCACTTAACACAGCCAAAAATTGTACAAGTAACTGCCAGTATTAGTGTTAAGCTTATTAATATTGGCTGTCAACATGTCCTATGTGTCCTCATGGCAAAAAAGAAGACAAGAACATAACAGGCAAATGCTTCACATTCATCAAATAAAAACCTCAGAACTCCTGTGGTATTGATTTTTGTTGCGGTTGTTGTTACAGAAAGAAAGAAGAAGAAAAAAACAAACTAGAAATTCAACAAAAGAAAAGAGGGGGATAAAACTGAAATAATGAAGGTAGAAATTAATAAAACATTAATTTTATAACATTTGGAGATTGAATATGAGACAAAAAGATTGGAAGTTTTGAAACTTTTCCAGAATGGATTTAATTGAATTGCTAGTCACCTACACCATGGAGACACTGCTCACAGCCTTGAATTACGTCTTTGTGGTTGGCAGTTTGAAAAGCAACAGCCTAGAAGTGATCAATGAGCTCAGCTGCTGGATGGTCTTCTTGCATCCACAGCAAGCTTTTTAAGAGCTGGTAGACATGTAATGCCTTTGCCTAGTACACTATATACATACGGAGAGCTCTGGGGGCGGGTGGTTTCTTTCCCTATTCACAACATAATGCCAGAAGATGCCTGGGAGATCCAAACGCACCCCTGGAGAGTGAAATTCTAAGAATGCTGCCTGAAATGGAGTAAGTTGAAACTCTAGGAAAAGAATAATCCACCACTTCTGGTTTCACTCCTTCAGGAGTTCTGTTGGTAAATAAAGGGGTGTTTTTTTTCAGTAAGAGAACATAAATACAGCACCGGTGCCAGATACCAAACTGAAAATGGAAACTGCAGTTCCTGTAGTCATGGATAAAAGAGCCATAAGAACTGGCAGTTGCAGGTTTTCCCAGATTTTCACCCTCAGAGCATGTTATAACATCAACATGAAGAGAAGGCTTCCAGGAGAAAGGGACCCCTTTCACTGTGATCCCAGACTCACTACCCAGAGGTCAACAGAGATGTTGGTTGGTACCAAGGGCACTGGAGGAGGTGACAGAGATGGGATGTAGTCATAAGTCCACTGATACTCATCACACAAAGACAGCAGCCAAACTCTTTGCTTCTGATCTGAGATTGATTGTTAACAGAAAGCGAGAAGAAAATCTTTCATTAATAAGACTTCAAACCACAAAATGCATCCAAATTCAAATCTAATTCATGCTAGCAGATCTGTGATCTAAGCCTTGAAGTTTGTTTCTTTTTTTTTAACCTAATCATTAAAATATCTCCTTTCTCCAGTATTTTACATTTCAGCTGCAGCCAGTGTGGTGAATCTGAATCAGGAAAGTGATTAGCTGCTGTGTTTGTCCACTTCAGTTGCAGGTTTCTGACCACTCACATTTGAAGTAATTATTGCCTAAACTCACACTTAATGCACCTTACAAGGGCAAACTGTTCTATGAATATTTGCAAAAGTTCCTAAAGGCAAGGATGCAAAATCACGATTTCAAACACACTTTTTTTTTTTTTTTTCTCAAGACCTCATTAACTAATGAAGAAATAGCTAAAAGAAATAGGATTAACTTCACAGGAGGGGCAGTAATGGTATATTTTGCTCCTTCTAGCTAGGCTTGCATATACATCTGCTTTTTATCATTATCTGTCTCTTTTTATCATGCAGTTTCAGCTTACTGCAAAAACTCAAATCTGTAAATGCTTGGAAAAATGCTGATGGATAACTAGTAATAATGTGAAAAATAATCTTATACTGAACGTGCTATGCAAAAGTATTGTTGTTCTGTTGTTTTTTCATAAGAGTCCTTATGTTAATATGTTTGAAGTTGGTACTATCACTTGAGGGCATTTTAAAGATATATCATACTTAAAATCCATTTATCTCTTCCTTGTATTTTTTGAAACCTCCATGTTATTTGCAGCTAAATATCAATATGATTTGTTTTGAACAACTCTCTATTCAGTCAGTAACTCACTTTTTTCTGATTCCTCATCTGAAATACACCTCAGATGCAGTATTACCCCAAGAGGCAGTTCTAAACCTGCTAGATCCACCATATATTAACATTGTTGAATTTCAAGAGTTTGCTTCCAGATTCAAATTATTTAGCTTGTTCCTAGCTCTATCATGGATCAAAACATGTTCTAAATCCCCATGTGGATTCAAATTTTAGGGGTCAGCACTCAATTGCATTCTGATTCTGTACACTGGGAAATGTACAGCAAACTGCCCATCAGTTCCAGTGCCTGTGTGGCTCTAAAGAAACTGTATTTCCACGCCTGAAATCCCTTTCTATGACAACGTTAGTCAAACGCACCAAGTGGGAAATCTAATTGGTAGTAAAAAACAATTCTAGCTGTCATGACCTTGTCTACATTGTGAGTATTGCCACTTTTAACACTGGTTCATTTGAACTGGGATTAGGGGTGATACGAATTATAGGGTCAATTATCTCCGGTAGCTAAAATTAATCTCTTTATAATTCAATCCCACAGCACTAGTCTATCATATCCTAAAGCAGTATTATGACTTTAATGAAGCTCAATTGCAAGAATAAACTGTTTTATGAAGGACAATGCTTGGATCCAGATGTAAATATTTAACAAAAATTTACTAGGAATATTCTGAAAATCAAAAGTAAATGCAGCTCTTCTGTGCAGTTTTCTTTACAGGTGCTTCCTTCTGAAAGGTATGCAACAGTCCAAATCCATCTTTAACCTATAATTGCCTTCTTTCTAATAATGCTATATGAATAGACTGGCACGTTTAGATGTCACAGCAAGAGAAGACAGTGATACCGTGTTCTGTCCATTATAAAAAGGTGGGTGAATATTATACTCCTGATCACAGGCATCATAAGAAACTTTGTATGTCAAGAGCTGTACAGATTTCCCCAGCACTTCTCCATCTACCTTCTAAATTAAATTAGTAGCAAGACTCCGTTTGTACTCTAATGGGAGCTGGACTGAGTTGACAGTTCAAAGTCTTTTTTGCTTACAAACTGTTTATTGGCAGGTATTGTAACTTGCATGATGATTTCATCCTATATAAGCAGAGGGAAATCTTATGGTCAAAATAAACCTTGTGACCTGATCTAGACCAGGATTTGACATAGGTCATTCTGATCTGTGTTATTGCTTGTAGTGTAACCTACCTGTATAATAGTTATACTCAGATAGACAGTTGGGTGAGCCAAAAAGCATTCTGTAACAATAGAACTTTTAACACTGTGAAATGAAAATAACACATATGCTGCTGTAAAGATGTCATGCTGAAGCAAAACAAATACTATAAAAATATTCTGTACTGTTTAATTGTTTGTTAAAAAAATTCTAAATCAACTTTGCCTGACACTCCAAAATTGGAAAAAAATAATTATTTGGCTTTTATTTTTAGCTGATTAGAAAAGGGATTTGCAAAATATTGTAAGGACATGTAAACACAGTTTATGAGTGTGGGAGTGTTAACAAGCCACATTGCTTGGACAAATATATATTTCTTTTCCCTGCCATATGCTCTCTTTAGTCATCTGTTAGCGATAAGCACTTAGATGTGCTCTACTAATGTCTACTCATTATAAACAAGCACATCACAAAGACCTTGATAAAACCTTCCCTCTGTCAATACTTAAGGAAAGGAAAGCCCACTGATTGAAAAACACATCTGGAACCTGCTCATCATCCTTTAAAGCTAAATTTCACCTCTGGAGATGGAAATACTTTCTTTGTCAAAAGACATCGTTAAATATTACATCCGTTTTTTCACATACATGTGATGTCAGAGTAAGGACGTGCATTACCAGAGGCTATAAAAACCTGCAAGCATGAAAAATCTCTGAATTTCACCTTTCAGATGTCTCTGTGTTCTTCAAAACTTAAACTTCCATTAGAAAGAAATTTCTAAACTATTTCTTTTGTTCTCTGTGTAAATCACTATGCCAGTTTATTATGGGACTGAAACCACAACACTGGCATAAGCGCTTCCTCCACCTCATTTCTCTTATTGAGATACTAAATTTGAAGCCTTAAAATTATTGCTTAGACCCAAATTTTGAGAAGACAGTAATGCATGAAAATATCCTAATTTAGTTTGTGTGCCTAGGTATTTATTTAGCTGTCTTATGAACAACTCACACGTACATTTATCCCCCTTTTCAGAAACAACTGTGATTCACAAGGATATATATATTTGTTTTGGTCTCTCAAAGATGTTACTTTATACTTCCAAAATCAACACCTAAATCTTTAAAACACAATTAATTTGAACTGCTAAAATGGCTGAAGAAATATCTTACAAACTATAGCCATGTTCTTATATTTTTCTTTTGAGGAGTTGTGTGCTCCTTCACTCACAGATACATGGACATGCATCTCAAAACCTGCCTGTGACATTAGCACAACAAATGTTTTAACACTCCACAAGGTAAAGGCTTCCTATATGATTCACAGGTGATTTCTAAGCTAAGAATGAACATTTGGAAACAGGCTTTCCTCTGGACTTTTCAAAGAAGTAAGACTCCACTGTCACATCTGGAGCTCCCACAGTGACATCCTAAAGGTTATCCTTTTCTGACATCAAAATATATCCATGCCTATCAACCTAAACTTCAGTAAAGGTTTCTTTATCTACCACAGTTCTCTTCTTTCCTCCCTGTACCCCACTGTAGTCACTACAACATTTCTTTTTCCTTATGTTTTCTTATGGTCAGAAGCCATTTATTTTTGCGGTTCCCCAGCCCCATCCTCATTGCGACCAAAGCCTGCTCTCCCAGTCTTCAGGAAAGCTCCAGGAAAATACATCACTTGCCTATACTTATCATTCAGCAGCAGCTGGGATCAGAGAGGCCCAGTAAGGCCTTGTATTTGCAGTTCCAGTAATACTTGCATATCCCATTCTCAGACTTACTGCATTT